GTATAGAATGAGATGGCATGAAGTGGGCTGAAGGCCCGAAGAGATTAAAAGAGATGATTTTGATGATATTGATAGGGAATGGTTGTTACAGACATGACGCTTGACCGGGGACAAGCGCGATGGACCGGATTAAGCAGGCTAGGGTGCGAAATACACGCTATCGGGCCCAACCCCCACGGACAACGGAGGTCCGGCTAACAGATACCGAAGTAACAGCGGACTGCTGTGACGCAAGAGCTTAAAGGGCCGCGAAGCGGCTTCCGACCTTCGACAGACTTTGGTCGCGGACACAAAGCATTGACAAACATGAGTAAAGACTTTGAACGACATGAGCATATGTGAATGGCCTGGACTAAGCAGTTGCTTGTGTCGCAGAACCAGAACACGGGAAAAGGAGCCAGGCTATGAACATTCGCGATCACCCCTAGCCGAGTCGACCGCAACGAATCACTGGGCATCAGCACCGACTGAGGCCGGAAGTCCCCGAGGGGACTTGAATTTACGCTTCAACCTTCGTCACTGCCCGCCGCAAAGCCGAAGCTAGGGCAGGTTAGACGTAAGGAACCACGTTCGATCTCCGAAGACGAACCACGTTAACCCTAGATCAGCGCGCAAAGTGTTTCCTGCAGAGGGTGATTAGAAGTTACCGGGATTTGAGGTCCCATACGCCAAGTGGAGTAGCACAAGCGAACGCAGATTGACGTGACCGCTCCCCTAGAGAGCGCAGAAAGGGATGCCGACGCCAACCCATGACTCCCCACCGCTCAAACCGTCTTGGCATATTTGCTGCGGAGTTTACTGCGATACCAAAGTGATATCACGAAGAAGGTATAGCCCAGCGGAAGAAATTGGGAAAATGTGTAACACAAAGAAAGAGAGAGAGAGAGAGAGAGAGTGATAGAATTAGATAATCAAGTATTACCTTAGAATGTAGATGAACAAAAGAGACAAAGAATCGATGAATGTATCACAACTGCGATGTATTTACAAGGAGAGGGGAAGGGGGAAGGAAGACCGGCAAAACGCGGTTTCCAAGAGATCGGCTCTCGAAAGACTGACCTCTGCACCAATAATACATTCTTTGTATACCGCTGAGTACCCCCTCCCCCCGCTCGAGTACTCCTTGGCAAAAGTGATGCCCCCCTACGACAGGTTTGTCAATTACAACTCGTACAGGGTCCGTCAACGATGCTCTGGAGTGACGATGCAGGCTAATCGTTGCACGGCAATTGTTCGCATTTCAGGATATCTTTGACGCACCCTGTAATGCTCCTAACGCGTACGTTTCATTAGTACAGCAGGGGTCTAAGGTCAACAATAAGCTTTTTAAAGAGTTATAGTTTTATAGTTCCTGATAGGTTTTAACAATATTTCTGCTAGGTAACATCGGTGAAATTGAATTTACCTTGTGAATTTATCTTCATAAGTTAAAGGTAGTATAGTTATAGGTAGTAGAAAAAGTATTAATCCGTATGCGTATGAGAGAGACGACCTTAGAGCCCTGCTGTACTAATGAAACGTACGCGTTAGGAGCATTACAGGGTGCGTCAAAGATATCCTGAAATGCGAACAATTGCCGTGCAACGATTAGCCTGCATCGTCACTCCAGAGCATCGTTGACGGACCCTGTACGAGTTGTAATTGACAAACCTGTCGTAGG